GATTAAAGAAGATTTAGGGAATCTTTCTAAAATTAAAAAAGAAAGAAAGAATATTAAACCTATAACAACCCAAGTGACTATTGTTTTTGTGATCAAACATCAATACATTTACCAGAAGGATTTAAATACAAAATATTATAGAGCTCAGGAACTTCAGAGCATGAGTAATGGTGATACAATGTGGGTATCATTAAATATAAAATTATTAAAATTTGAGTWAAARDAAGAAAGAGAGTRTTTTTKDTTKWWWTWDTGGGGTRTATTGAAATATAAAATTAATAAAATTTGARTAAAGRGAAGAGATAGTTGATATTTTTGGAGAGAGTGTATCAAATAGTTGATACTTTTGATATTTTTGAAAAGAGAAAGAGAGAGTGTATCAAATGTTTTTAATAATTTTATATTTAAAAAGAATATAAAATTAATAAAAGTTGAGTAAAAGGATGAAAGAGAAAGTATAAAGTGGAGTAAAAGGAAGAGAGAGTGTGTTTTTAATATTTGTTTATTCGACTGATACAGCATCGGTATCACAGATGCTGATGCTCTCAGTGGCCCCTTGGGAAGAAATTAATAGAGCAATTTATGAAATGACCTAGAAAAAATTGATGAATGTACCAGCATTCTGGTTACGTCTTATCTATTCAAGACTGATCTAATATTCTAATTCTAAATTCATATATTTGTTTGAAGTTTATGGAACAAAGGAAAAACACCAACACGTGGGTTAAAAGTGTGCACGTACGTATGTATGTACAAGATATGTCCGTATAAGTGGTCGACTGGTCGTATAGATAAAAGAAGGCAGCCCAACTAACCTTTTGCAATGGATTTGGTAATGTTGACTTTCTTTTTTCCTATTTATATCTTTAGAACTTTTATGTTGTACGTATTCAACTACCGAACAGTATAAAAAAGAATAAAATGTGGACGACAAAATATACTCCATATAAAATGTATTTTATATGAAATTTGAAAATATATGGATAATGAGAATATATTTTTTGACTAAAATAGATTTTTTATGAAATTCTCAAAATACACTGAAATTATTAATTAATAATTTGCTTCTTATTTTTTCCACTATAGATTATTTAGATAGCAAAAAACTCAATTTTTAATGGATATCATGGATTATTTTGAGTTTCTTCTCCCCCTTATAAAAAGTTGAAGTAGTTTTTTTTTTTTTTAAGAAAAAGTTGAAGTAGTTTTGGTTTATAAATGGTAATACGAGAAAATATGGTAACAAACTTACATGTTGTATTATGTCTTTGATTACTTTATAAAAATTGACATTTTACTTTGATAGAAAATGTGATATGTAATCTTTTGACCAAAAAAAAAAAAATCTTTTGACGTAACTTCTTCCTAGCTACTACGCTGCTTACATGCCTTATTTTTGTCCCATTCGTAATGATCAGAGAATTAGAAAATAGATTTAATTAGGAAAGTGTTCAAGTACCGATAATATACAAAACTCTTGCGACATTTTAAACAAAATTATCACAACTTTGTTGTTGACTAAAACCTCATCGCCACATGTAAATTCTAACCCAAAATCAGTATCATTGTCTCATGCAAACTCCAACATTTCCAAATAAATAAAAAGAAACAAACTTCAACAAAACAGCTTACGTAGCCAACAATAAATGACCGAAAAATTCGAAACGGCCGGAGTTTGTACCGAAGTATGGTGGAGCTCCTCCAACGACATGATCTCGGGATACTCTCTGCCACGTTCCACTGAAATTTTTGTTGATATCGGCGGATTTGAATGGCAAAACATTGATACCCTCGATGCCAAAACCTATAACGAGAGCCATCTTAATACTTCTACATACTTAGGCAATACAAATCTCGATTCCACTTCACAAATCTTTGTTTTGAACCAATCTAACCTGTAAGTCCAATAGTCATATACATCTCATGTGATGCAAATCTTGATTCTTAAGTCTTAACCATTTTTTCTTTCTTTTCCACTAGTCATGAAGAAGAAAGATTTAATTCTATAGATAGTTTTCTAGAAGGATTGTTCGATTTAAGTGAGCAATTATCGGTTCCTAATTGCACGAAACCAGGACTACTCGAAAGCTTTCACTTCTTTGATGACATTTTCTTGAACGAATCAAGAACTGTATCAGTATTTGATCACGAGAATGAAGACAAGCCTGAGGAAGAAATACAACCATGCAAGAGTCTAATTAATTGCAAGGTACGTGAACCTATTAGTTTAGTTTCTTTCATAATAGAAAATTTGTCATCTTTCTGTAGATTTTGATGTTGTGATTGTTCAGAGAGCAAGCGATGAAGAACTCGAAGATATCGAGTCATTACAGCCATTAAAAAGACCAAGACTCGAGACACCATCTCAGTTTCCGAGCTTCAAAGTTAGTAAAAAAAGATCTTACTACCTTTTCAAAAAAAAAAAAAAAGATCTTACTACGTACACTTTTCAGAAATTGCCACTTATGAAAAATTAACCCATTTCCACGCTTATATATTTTTGAAACTTTCTATTTTAATTTATTAAGTTTCAGATTGTCGAATAAAAAAGTTTGTAAAGACAAAACTATTTCGATATATAGTAAATTATAAATAATATTTGTTAAGTTTGAACCTTTTTATTCAAAATGCTACTTGCAATATGTATATATTTTTCAAAAGTATTTAGCTTAAATTTTCTTCTGATGAAACACAACTTTGGATGATAAGGTTCGTAAAGAGAAACTCGGAGATCGAATAACGGCACTTCAGCAGTTAGTTTCACCCTTTGGCAAGGTTTGTGTTATTCATAATCTGTCATATATTCACATATTATCCCGATCTATTATTTAGCCATAATTAGTTAAGAAATTTAATTTAATTATTCTCTTTCTTTTTTAATATTCTTTTCTGATGATTTCCGCAGACAGACACTGCTTCTGTTCTCCATGATGCTATAGAGTACATCAAGTTTCTTCAAGAACAAATCAAAGTAAGTTCATAGTCTCAAAAATAAACATTAATTGTTGGTTTAGTTAATTTTATGTTGAAAATATTAATTATTGTTTATAATCATTTTAATTCTAAATAGGTCTCATGTAATCCACACCTGGACTCTAGAGGATCTGGTGAACAGAAGCAGGTACTTAAGTTAGACTATGGTTTAACAACTCTATAATCTAAACTCAATTAAGTACTTGCTTTTTTTTTTGTTCTTTTGCTTATGATCATAAGATTCTTTCAATTCTAGTGTACAGGCACATCAGACAACAATACTCATGATCAAGATTATAGTCCAAGACAAGATCTACGAAGCCGCGGTCTTTGTCTCATGCCGATTTCAAGTACTTTCTCCGCCTCTCTGCCGCATTTGGACACCTCTAGTTTCTGGAATTATAAATCCTGATAGCTTTGAATTAAATTGTTATGTTAGAACAAAAGCATAACATTACACATGAATTTTAGCAAAAAAAGAAAAAGAAAAACCATTACACATGAACATATAAGCTTTGTCCTAAGAGCTGTAAAGTCCAATGTTAATTTATTTACAAAATGTGATCCCTCGTTAGAGAATGGAGAAAAGATAGAATGATTTTGTGGATTTACAATATTTACCAATCATACAATTTGTTGTAATCGTAATTTACATTCACTAGTCATTCTCCTATTTAATTAAGTGACAGAAACATAAACTTTTACGGTTTTTCACTTTTAACATTTTCACAACCAACCAAAACTATCATTTAGGATTCTATGGATTTTTAATACAAGATTAGGAAGACAAATTAGAAGATATTTATTATCAACTAAATTAGACTATTAATATCTCAATTAAGGAGATTTTTTAATTAAAAAATTATAAATTTAATAAAGCAGCTGTTTTTATTGTCCTCAAAGGACAAGACTCTGTTTTGTTTTGTTTGTGTGTCCTCAAATCAAGGCATATGATTGAATAAGAAACATAAAGCAATCATCTTTAAGCACTGTTTTCAAAAACTAAAGCATGAATCAACAAAAAAACATAACCCATCTTTTTTTTGGACTCAAATGAAATCATTGTAGCGAATTCAATACTTTTTATTCCAAGCACGCCACAATTAATTAAAGAAAAAACTCGAATTAGTAGGCATGATATCGTAGAGTACAGTGACTGGTTTGTCCCAGTGACTGTTGTTGTAAAAAGACAGATTTGTCTTATGGAATCATCAGAGTTCTTACGAGTATAAAGACAAAAAAGACTGGATAATATAATTTTTGGAATCCATCATGATTGCTTGGACAAAAGCTCAATAAAATTCTTAGAATAATTTATCTGAAAGAACAATGATTCTTACTGTTTCTGCATACACCAACACAGTGATTCAACTAGCAAACAGTAATAAACTGCTTTTCATTTAAAACAATGGGACTATGGGAAAAATGTTAGGCATGACGATTTGAGATGATTACGCCGTGCGGATGAACCTGAACTTGACAGTTTAACGGCACTCTGTAACCTGTTTCCGATTCGATTCTTGTAAGAATACTTACAACGTTAGATTCAACAGAGAAGGGACCAAAACGCTATGAAAATGAAATGATCGAATAATCAAAACATCAAAAATATTACAATTTTCGTGGTATGATCCTTTTACTTCTTTAATATACAGAAAACAAAAAACCCGTAAAACCGAAAAGCATTTGCATTTTGCTTTGTTGAAAACCTAAGCCTTTTGTATTGTTCTTCCTTTCATTTGTACATGAACTACACCAAGTAGAGTATCCAACACAGCAAAAACCCAAACTTACCTTCATATCCAGACCTGATGCACAAAACCAGACAACAATAATCCTCAACAACGCCACCGAAGACAAAACCCCGATCCTTATAACTTCCATTTTCACATTCCCACCAAAATCAAGAATTCATTGGACTCCAAGTAAAGTATGGACTAAGTTAGTAGCATTCCTCCTTATTTTCTCACTCTCATTATCCTCCAAACTAAAGCATATCTCTACAACTCCTTCTCTCTTAACCTCATCGACGATTTCTCGGCTACAACAACACAAGCAATTGAGGATAAACAGAGAATACTGAATCCCTTTCAAACTTCCATTTTTCAAAACATTAACCAAAACCTCAATAAAGCCACTAACTTTACTCATTTCTTCTCTTCCTCCTCTACACTTAACCAAAAGCCCCAACACTTCCACTGCTCTTTCAAGCCCTGAATCAGCTGCTTCAACCAAAATAGGAACCGACCCGCAATCCACAACACGTTTTCGATTATCCGGAAACGAACAAAGAGCGTAAAGAGCAGTCGCTGATTCCTTCCTTTCCCGGTCATTCCCTAACCGGAGAAGAGACACAAGAGCAGAGATTGCATCAGGGTAAGAACCAATTGTGGCTTTGTTCACTTCTACAACAGCTAAACTCGTTAACAGAGTAGCAGCAATGGCTTTGCAATCGGGTGACCCGACCCGTAAAACCGCCACAATCCGTCTAATTACCCCATCAGCGACTAAACCAACTTTGTTCTCATCTTCTAAACTTAGATTCAAAAGCAAAGATAGAGACTTTTCTTGTAAAACCTGATTACACGAGTCAACACAATCAAGAGCCGCACGAACCGCGCCTGACTCAGTGATTTTCCTTCGAATCAACGAGTCTCGCTTCGTGAGTCGAACGAGTCGAGTCAGTGACTCGAGCCTTGACTCGTAAGACGACGATCGAGAGACAAGAGTGGAGATTAAGGATTGAGATTGAGACTGAGTGTGGTCTTGTTGAGTCTTGGGTCTTGGTGATTCTTGAGGGCTTACATGAGCGAAGTTTGCAATTAAGCTTCGTAAGGCGTGGTTAGGAATCAGAGAAGGGTTTTCCGACAAGGGGAGCTTGGTGATTGGACAAGTTCGATTGCCGGAATCGATCCAGCGTTGGATAGAGACCCGGTCGAAAGTATGACCCGATTGGATGATTACTGGGTCAGACATAATCTCAAGTGAGATCGGACATCTGAAATCGTTTGGTAACTCAAACGCCATCTCTGGTTTTGAACTTTTTCAATGGTTTCGAAAT